ATATCATTCCAACAATTTTTTTAATTACCTCCAAACTGTGTTCTTTCCATTGTCTACAAAAAAAAAAAAACATTTTAAGCCAAGCAATTTATCATATTAAGGTTTGGTTTGGGACGGCTTTCTTACTGCTTCTTAAAGCAGCTTTCTTGTATAAAAATTTTTACTTTTAAACTAGAAAAATGTTTTAAGAAGCAATAAAAAAACCATCCCAAACGAAGAATTAAGTCTTTTAATTTGGATTCATTCTACAACTTTTTACTTTTAAACTAAAAAGATGTTTTAAGAAGCAATAAAAAAATCATACCAAGCGAAGAATTAAGTCTTTTAATTTGGATTCATTCCAAAACTTTTTATCATATGAGAGAGCTCAATTTAATATCCTATTTATATTTTCAAACTGTTTTTTAAAAGAAACTTTTTCGTACAAAATTTTTTTGAACTAAATATTTTTAACTTCAAAACTGCTTTAAAAAGCAATAGGAAAACTATCATACAAACAAAATCATAATTACAAAACAAAAAGAAAGATTTAGAGTTGATTCATCATTAGAAATTATGTTTTATTTGGCAAAGCTAGTCCAAATTTTGTAGTTATTTTATCAAATCAAGAAAGAATTATTTGATCAAATCATAATTATGTAATAAAGCGATTCCAATTGCATGGACAGATTCTTCATTTTTATCTGTAGCTCAAGATGAGCATTTCCCTTTAAACAAAGTTATTAATTATGAACCCAAACAATCACTAAGGAAGGCCAAATAAAGAAGGGCCACTTTCAACTGTATACAAATCCTTTATTTATCACAATATAAATAGTGATGTAGTTGGACCATCCCAATCATTCATTTCATTTTGGATGATGAAGAAAAAATTAAAAAAAAAAATTATTTTTGAAATCCTATTGCTAAAGTTTATGCGAATATGACTTTTGTTAAAAATAATAAATTATTAAAAAACTAATTTGAAGTTGAGCTCAATGTTTCATAGGAAGGGTAAAGTCTATCATTAAATAGTTGAGCTCAAAGTTACAAAAAGTTGAGAGAAATTAGTTCACTAGCATGAGAATGTATAGTTATCATATTAGTTTTTCAGATGAAGTCATTAGGAAGATGTGCAAAGAGATTGATGATTTGAAAATTGAAGTTTCCTTAGTGGAAATTCATGGAATCATCTTAGTCAAGTTAGTTTCCTGAGGATGAATTTATTGTATGCCAATCTAATAAGATGTAGAACTATTCGTCAAAAGAAAACTTAGGATCCCATGCTTTACTTCTACTTTGGAGATTTTGGGATGCCTCTCCATGATGAATTGAAGAATGCACCAACGTCTTAAAGTTGACCTATATGGTTTCTCTTTAGTATGGTGTGTTGTAGTTAAGGGGTGTAAATGAGTTGAGTTGAGGTCAAGCTCAATCGTGCTTAACTCGAGCTCGGCTTGTTTGCCAAATCACAAGCTCGAACTCGGGCTCAAATAGTGTGCTCAAGCTCAATTCGTGGCAACAGATGCAAGCTTGTGAGCCAATTCGCAAGGCCCTTGAAGAACTGGCCAACTTGATTCCACCTTCCTCTTCCACTTTTGCCTCCAGTTTCGGTTCCTCCTTCTGCTTCGGCTTCCACTTTCACTTTCTCTTCTTCCTCCACTTCCACGCTTCTACCTCTGCTTCTGCTTTCGCCTCCACTTTTGCACTTTAGCCTTTTACTTCTTATTTCGCCTTCAGCTTATGCTCGAGCTGCTCGATGAGTGAACGACTCGAGCAACAACTCAATCATTCTTGAGCTCGATCATCCAACAAGCTCATTCTTTCAGATATCATGCATATTATTTTTTCTGGACATTTTGTATGTATTTTGAATGTTTTGGTATACATGTGATCTATTTTAGAGCAGCCCAAGGGGGTTCTTTGAGCGGAAATTTGAAAAATGAAGCTTTTCCTTTTGAGTGTTGTTCAAGGTTCGGGGTATTGCGGCACTAACCTCTCAGGTCCTGATCATTTTATTGTGAATAATGTCGGTGTTCCGATACGACTACTACGTCAAAATTTTTAATAAATGTCAATTTTCACTTGAAATGAAAAATATTTAAATCTTCTCTCGAGGTTGCTAGCTAGATAGGGAGAAAGTCTAGATTGAGTTGCTTCAGTCAGTTTTTTTACTATCGGCCCAATTCAGATAGTTATCCAAGTCAAGGTATGTAATTTTCTGTCTATCTCAGTTTTTAATATTATGTAAATTTTGGGATTTTATCAAAATCATAAATCTAAAATATAAAAAAAATGAGAATAACTTCACATCTTCTAAGATTTCAGTGCACAACTTTTGATATGTAGCCTGTAAGAATATTCTGAACATTTTTATGTTTTATTGAAAAAGTTTTCTTGGCTAGTTTTGAAAATTTGTTATTTTGGCAATTTAAAAATAATTTTGACCTAAGAAAATAAAGCTATTATATAATAAAAGTTTCAAAGAAGTGTTCTGAACAACCCTTAATAATTTGATATAAATAAGAAAAATATAAATTTTTAATTAGTTTACTGAATTTTTTAGCTATCGGTATAATATTATGTGATAAATTGTGTTATAATTTTTATTATTGGAAATGCGATTATGCATATGCTTACCTACTTGAAATGTATTGTTTTTTAGAAAGTTTGATTTTGTGAGTAAGTTTTGCTGTGCTAAATGCACTGGGAGTTATAAGGGTCTGATTCTCTTTTGAAAACTTCTTAATATCTATTATGTTAAATATTTGGGAGCTATGAGGGCATGCTTTATAATATGCTAGCATAAGGAGTTATAAGAGCCTAAATTTTCATATTTATTTTTGTTGGGAGGTATGATGGATGAGGAAAATCTATTAATTTCTACCTTAATATAAAAAGTGCTTGTATATTTATATTTTGAACAATGTCTATTTAATTTCTCTATCTTTCACTACAATTCTGTTTACTAAATTCATTTTTAATGGACTTTCTTTCTATTTAACTAAAATAATTATCAGGTTAAATGTTTAAAATTTAAATTAGTCAGTGAGACCTACTAAGCTGTATTGGCTCACACCTATTCTTCTTTCTACATTATGTTTAAAATTTTTTGAGTTTGGTTTTGAATTTAAATATATATCTCTCTTCATTATTTTCTCTTTTACTTCATATTTTCCAATAACTTCATTACATAAAAATGTAGGAGTTATATATATATATATTCAGTGTAAATCATCTTTTGTAAATATATATGTTTTGGGCTTCATCTGGGATAACTTTTATTATTATTATTATTTTTAAAATAATTTTTTAGTGCAAATTTTTTTTAAATAGAAATTTTGGTAATAAAAAATAATTTTAGAAAACAGTAAAAAAATTATTCCAAATAAAATCTTAATTACATGAAGTCATTTGATAGTGACTATTAAGACTCACACTAACTTTATTATTATTACTGCGTATTATAACTCAACACTTCAAAGAGTTTTTTTTTACATGATAAAACATTTGTTGTTTTCAATCATTTTCCCTTTTAAAAATATATACAATTTCGCATGTTCTTATATGTAATAATAAGTTATAGGCTTTGTTTAAGACTTTCTTATTGCTTTTCTAGAAGTAATTTTCTAATAATTTATTTTTAGTTCAAGATATTTTTGTACTTAAAAACTGTCTTAGAAATAATAAAAAAATTATCCCAAATAAAATGATAGTTGGTTTTGCACTTCAATGAGTTTTGAAGAATGGTTAAAATTTATTTATTAACTTTAAAAATAAGATAAGTGTAATATGCAACTCATTCTATTAATAGATGGAGTTATTTAGCTATTTATGAAGGCAATATATCCAAAATTGATTTGACATTATACTAATGCCTTCATGATTAAAAGTCATAAAATTTTATCCATTATGGAGTTCTTCATTTAATGAGGGATTGATTCATAAAATCTTTAATATTTTGTCTTTCTGAATCTTAAAAATATAATAGATCATCCATTGGTAAATCTCCTAATGTTTTTCAGCCCAAATAATATGATATTGTAACAATATTATCCATAAGCAAATAATGAATGTTTTCCTTTTGCAATGAATAGGATAAATTTATATTTGATGATAACATTAAAAACAAGAAAATTCATTATTGTAGTTCATATTCAATAATCAATTTAGGAGTGTCAAAAATTGACCCGACCCGAAACTCGACTCAAACCCGACCCAAAAAAATCTAGGTTCGGGTCAACCCGTTCGTGAAACGGGTTGGGTTCAGGTTGACCCAAAAACCCACAGGTCAACTTGAATTGACCCGGTTAGCCGTGTCCGGTGACTCCCGTCTAGTCACGTCATGACAGGTTTGCCAGCCGTCTCGTGCTGGGCCGGTTGCTTGACTCGCGTCATGCCTATGCTGTAACACTTCTATGGGTTTCTCTAGCTCTCTGCGACTCTGCCTGTCGTCCCATCCAACATCGACTCAGTCCAGCGCGGTTCGCCCCAGGCCCCCAGTGCCCTAGCGGCGTGGCACTCAGCCTGCTCGCCCTAATAAGCTGCAGTTCCGCACTCAGCCCCTCACCCGCACGAACGTGCCTGCACCGCAAGGTCCGCGAGAGCTACTCTTGCCGCGCTGGGAAGAAATCGACGGGTCGGGTCAAGTCGGGTCAACCCAGCAACCCGTACAGGTCGGGTCAAGTCGAGTCAAAATCAGATTTCGACCCGAAAACCCCACCCGTTGACCCGAATTGACACCCCTAAATCAATCAATATATCTCTTCATAATATATAATCAAAACTATTTTTCGGGCTTTGCTTTTTAAAACTCAATCATAATTTTTATTTGGCCAATATTTTTCAATAAAACTATTTTCTATAATAACTTTTAAAAAACTATTTTCTTCGCAACAACTTTATAATCACTTCTTAAAAAAAGCTACATCTATCACAAATGGACCATAAAAATCTTAGCAGATCTATGCATTAGAAATTCCATGATTGATGTGATAAAAGCCTAAAAAAAAATGTAATCATCCTCTAACCTCATATCAATAAATTTGTCAAAATGGAATACTACTAAAATGAGTACAAATATACAATTGAATAAATACAAAATAAATTATATGAACTGATAAAACTTTACTATGAGTTAGACAAATCTTGCTAGCTAACAACCATCCAATACCTTGGCAACTCTTGCAAGTTTCACATTAAGAGAGTTCAATAAGAGGGATTCCATTGGCGAATCCTCTCAGACAAATAAGCTGACAACATTGACAAGTTGATTTGCCAAATTTGCGTTATCTTAGATTCTTCTGAACAAGTTCAATTACTTGATTCCAAGGAGTACATAAATTCCTTTCAGATAACTTCAGCCCTTATACAACTTCAGTATAGTCCATGGTAAATACACCTCTTCTTAGGCAAGTTGACAACTTAGTACAATGTTGGAGACTTGTGCTTAGTTTGAGACCGTTTTCTTATTATTTTTAAAACAAATTTCTTGTACAAAAATTTCTTAAAAACGGCAAAATAATAATTATAGTAAAAAACTGTTTCAAACAAAAATTTGATGGAATGGATTCCAGCTTATATACTAGCTTGATTAATCCAATCTAAGCAAGCAGGTGGATTATTACGTGCGAAGTCCGGACATAAGCACTGTTCGATTTTGTCTCTGTAAACAGTAAAATCATGGTTATTATACTCTTTAACTATTCACACTGCACTTTTATTGTTCACAGAGACAAAACCGAACGATGCTCTGTGTCCGGACTCTGCACGTAATAATCTCTCATCCAAGCAAAATTAAATATACAATAAACCAGTGAAAAAAACTCACACCCATAAAAGTAAGCACTGGTGCAGCCATTAAAACTTGCCTTCACCCATCACTCATCTAAAGTTTTAAAGTGCTCAACAATACCTTGCCCAGTCAGTACTGTATGTCTGTGCAAGTCTGAGAAGACATCACCAAGTGCTGAACACGACAAACATTGACATTTAAATACCCTTATCCACTTATCCCTCTTCCTGTTATTCTCCAGGAGTATCCTTTACTTGATTAGCAACCATACTGAATTTCTGCATGAAAAAAAAAAACTCTCCATTAAATAACTACTGCACCAAGGACAATACAATAAAAGCTAGAGACGTTATGTATGTCTTACTGTTTAAATGGCCCACAAAATAATGCAAAAGGCGAGCTTCAATCTACCTCCATTAGTATCGCATGGCACAGCTGTCTTGATAAGAATTTGTTGATCATCACATAGCTACCTTTATCAGTCTGAAGATAAAACTAATGATGCCAAAATTGGAGCTTGTGAATGTGATGATGCCAGTGATTAGTTCAAGGTTTTGTTTGGGATGGTTTTTTTGCTGTTTTTTAAAGCTGCTTTCTAGCACAAAAATTCAAATTTTTATACTAAAAAACAGTTTTAAGAAGCAGTAAAAAAGTCATCCCAAACGAAGTCTAAATGTAAGTAACAAAAAGAAAAAAAAATTAACAACAGAGCTTTACACAAAATTAAAAAAAGAAACTGCTCTTGATATGGAAGAAAGAATCTGTCCATACAATTGAAACTAAATCTTCTCTTTCATGAGGTTTAAACCTAAATCTCTTTCTATATCACAGATGCAAAGGAGAATCCTCAGTCTCAAAGGCATCCGAGATTCAAATTTTCACAACTAATGACATTTTATGTAGCAGCATATCTTACAGAACAATGCTTTTTTGCATCTACAACATCTACATATTTTCAACATATTTCTCTTGTATATAATATAGTGCAAGAGAATATGCTATGGTTCAATAGCAAATCTTTTACAACATAATAATACAAATACAGTGTTGAAAATATGTTAACTTAAGTAGATGTCAGAAGCATTCCTCATGAAGACGAAAACAAATGAATGAAAGAAGGCTCAAATGGAACTGCACAAGTTAACAAATAATTTCCCAGCTAATCAATGCACAGAAAATCAACAAGGACCACTACAACTTTAATAAAGCTGTGGCCCCGGCCAACCTGATAGAGCAAAATGAGCTCGTAATTGTTGCTTTGTAATTTAAAAAACATGAATGATTCACAGGTGTACTGGCAACCCATAGTTTTGGAATGCCCTTATTCTCCCATCCCATCCTGCAGTGACTATTACTTGGCCCCAGGAATGGGATGCTTTCTTCTGACAGGAAGTTCTTTGAAACTTGAATTGTGATTTACTAAGGCCGAAATTTTTTGCCATACTAAAAGGGAGCGGGAGCTTCTCTTCCGGCCATGTTGCCGACCCCCAAGGAACAAAATCTGTAAAGAACTTATAGCTTAAGGTGAAATTATTGGAAAGTGAGAGGTATAGAATCTTGTTGCCCATATAGTCTACACGGCAAAGAAAGTCATCCAAACTGGATTTTCTGGAGAAACCCTGCCATGGCATAACGATGCAAACGTTTCTTGAGGTGAAACGCTCAAAAGATTTGTTGCTTTTCAACTTAGTCGAGGGGATATTATTCTGGTTCGAGTGGTTCCAGATATAGACATTCGAGTCCTCGCTAGCAGAAACTATATGTTGTCCATCAGAAGTGAATGTTGCAGATATCTTACTTCCAGTATTGCGAAGGCCTGGAAGGAGTAAAGCTGATATGTTTGAGAAACATATTGAGGGACACAAATGAGATAAGTAATAGTTCAGTACCTTTGTATTTAGAGACTACATTGATCCCTTCAAGGATTCGTATTACTGAGTCTGCAGATGTAACCATTAGCTTATTACTGCTGCTTGGGCAAAACTGGGGAGTGAAAGATCAACAGTTAAAATAGAGTATAATCTGATATGCAATATTTTCATTTTATATGAGTGAAAATGTTAACCTGCAAGCCAGTTATCCTCTTGTCTAATGACTTCTTTTTACCCACAAATGAAACCTTAGAATCCAGTTGGAGGTCGTCATCTGAATTTCGCATGAATGGAGAAGAGAAGTTAAGAATTTAAGATAACTACTATAAAATTGAACAGGACACAATGGAGAATTTAAGAGATTTCTTTATTAGATTTAAATGAGAATTTGACTTTCAACATGACACAATGGAGAAAAAGGATTCATATAGCAGATCCCAAGTACTGGGACAAAGGCTTGAGGTTGTTGTACAATAAAATTGAAAAGGAAATGATGGGAATGGACAACTTGAAAATGTCACAGATGACCAATATTATCAAACTATTGAAGCAAATATAGACAGAAAGATATATGAACCATTCGGTTAACTCCATTTTTATTACAAATTACAAGATTAATACATCAAAGGAAACTTGTTCATATAGACATCGGATGGGTTTACAAGAACAGGTATCAAGGAATGGATTAACAAGAAAAATACTATTAAGTAGTAACAGGATGAGAACTACAATTATACGATTAGTTAGAATGTAGTGCACAACAAAAAAAAATGATTGTCCAAAAGGGACAACTGAAACAGATTTGGATGGATGGTACAGCCATTAAGGACAACAGTAAAAGTGACAGGATTGTCCAAAAGGTTGTCCCAACAAAAGAAAAATGAAATTTAAGAAAGGATAAAGGCTTAATATGCAAGTCTTACAGCCCACTCAAGGTCTATGAGCTAGCTTTTCCCCATGAATGGATTGGTAAGGAAATTCATAATAATCACTTTGGTCAATGTAATATTAGAAATTATAATGCACAAAATTTCCCAAAAAAAATTGTAGGTTGATGAATAATTAATTGGAATAAAATTTTAATTTGCATAATCTATGGATAGTCCATATAAAAATGATCCTCGATATATCTTGTTTTTTTTGCAGGGACAACAGGTTAATATAAAATAATGTAAATTTTTTAGCATGTGAAAAATAAAAAACCTCAACATTAAAACAATTTGGCACGAATACCTCCAATTACTTCATTAAAATATCTCTAGATATCAAGTTTATACAATTCAAGGAATGCCAATAAAAAGAAAAAAAGGAACAGAAGCCAAAGAGATTCTATATTAGGCTTCTTTTTGACGGCTTTTTTACTGGTTCTTAAAACAGCTTTTTAGTTAAAAAATTAAAATTTTTGTATTAAAATGTTGTTTCAAGAAGTAATAAGAAAGCCATCCCAAACGAAGCCTTAATGATGCCTTTGAAAACTTCATTTCAATATATTACATTCAAGCATAAAATAACTTCCCTAATAATGTAAATATTTTAATGATCTCTAAATCAATCTATTTTAGTTAAAATCATTGAAGGACAACATAAAATTTGACACTATATAACACGATTATTGATAGAGTAAGGTTCATTCAGGCGTAACATGAAAACATACTCTACAAATTGGTAAAGAAAGAGCATTCTTTTATGGTATGCACCTGATGTAACATAAAACCGACAATCACCCGTCATGGAACCAACAACCACTCCCTACATAAACCAAACAAATGTATTAAATTCACAAACACCCAGTAGATTTCAAAGAGAGCTTCAAAATGACAAAAACTAATAAATTACCTTCCCATCTGGGCGATAACAGACTGCTGTGACTATTTGTTTAACATCTGTCCAATTCACAACGCGACATGTCGGAATTTCCCAGATGCGAACTTTACCATCTATAGAACCACTAACAAAATAGTTCTCATCAATCGGATTAAACTGAACGCAAGTCACTGCAAGAAAGTCATCAAAAGAATAAATTCAGCTACTGCCTTATAATCTAGCTTATAAAAAGATTTTAACAATGATCATATAGTTTATAAAATAATGAAAGCTCACCATAGTCATTATGAGCAAAAACTTTAAGGCAAACATCGGACCCCAATTGCCACAATCGAACAGTTTTATCAATAGAAGATGATAGCAGGCACTGCAAGCAGAATTTATTCTCAAGGTTTTTCATTAAGAGATTCTATGATAAAACTCTATACAAAGTAAAGAAGTCTTAAGATTTAAAATTTACCTTATCTTTTGACCATGCAAGATCCAAAACATCACCTTTATGGCCTTGGAACTCATACAGTGTTTTCTCAGATATCTGAAAGACCTCCGGAGGAATAACAACACAAGCCGAATCTGAAGTTCCGCAAAAATTCTTGGACTTGATTTTTTTAAGTTTATCAGCGTAAAGATGTGACAGTTTGGATTGACTGCTCACGCTGAAGTAAATACAAAGAGGGTCATCATCAAAAATACCATCTTCATCATTCCTGGCACATTCCATCACCTGCCATACTCGGACGACTCCATCTGCACCGCCACTGGCTAAATACTCGCCATCAGAACTAAACTTCATGGCAAGGATGGCACCATTATGAGCCTTAAAATTTTGCCCCATATAAACTGCAGAGAATTCCTTGGACTGCTTTCTATTCAGATGCACTGGAACCCTATGAAACCTGGCCCTTGCACTCCCATCAGAACCATTGGAACCTGAATCAACTTCATAGCCTTGCCTATCTGCAATACATGCCATGGAACCCAATCGCTTCAACCACCCAAAGTTTTTCCGCATAGATGCTCTCATTGAATTGCCTCTTAAAAAACTACCATCTCGGTTTGATTCCCGTGCAACAAAGGCCCTGCCATCATCTATATTCTCAGTTGTTCGTTTAAATTGCTTGCCAGAGGATCTTTCCTGTGATGTGCTAGGAACTTCTTCAAACCTCTCCGATGAAAAATTCCTAAGAACAGCACCATAATCTTTGGAAATCCTATCTAAGTCACCCACAATTGTATCATCCATCATTAGCTTATCACTAGGATGAATGGAATCCAAACCCATGTACTTCATGAACTTGGCTCGCCTTTCCTGTATGCTAACTGGACTCTTGATCCAGACTTGGTATAAAGGATCATTAGTCAGCAACGTTACGGAATTCTCTTCTGCAAATGATGAATGACTAGTCCCCGGACTACTAGGGCAAGAATCAAATACCGATGACAATTCTTCTCTGGAATCAGAAAATTGATCACCCCCTTCCTTCCCTCTGAACAAGTAGCCACAAGCCATCTTGTTCTTTGAATATTCAAGGCCAGCCGTGATATTAAAACTGCAAGAAAGCCCGAAATTATCCAAAGCAAGAGAAATAGGGCAAATAAACAACAAGTACAAACTTTTTAATAGCAGTAACCCCAATCAAAGGCCAATGAACCTAGCCCCCGAATCATTAAAAAAGACGAGTTTTCAAAACCCAAGCTGAAATTTCGGAGAACAAAGCTCGGGACACCAAAGAAATTGATATCAATTAAAAAATATTAAGAGAAAACCCCGGAAAAAAACTGAGTTTTACCTGAGCTACCATGATATCTGGTCCTTCGATTGATTGGGAAGGGGAATAAAAGGATCGAGCTAATAAACAAGTACAGGTTGGGGAATTGGGATTGGCCCTCGATATCGGTGATCGAATGGACCGAGAGCGATTTATGCCTCTTCCTACTCTGCTTTCTCTTCCCTCTTCCCTCTTCCCTCTTCCCACTCTTCCACTTTCTAACTCCTTAAGACTGACGGGTGAGTGCCCAAATCTCAGAAGCACGGGATGAATCACCGAAAAAACCCTGTACTTTTTCGTTTTACAGCTTAACATTTTTACCATACTTCAATGAGTATGCAAAAGTTATGTTTCAATGATTTTGTTATAAAATTAGGTTATTGAGTGCACCTACCCATCTGAATAAAGAGATATTTTTAAATAATAAGAATTTTACTTTTTAAGATCATTCTCACACTAATGATTTACCCTCATTAATGAATACATGATTTATGCATGATTTGAGCATGATTTGGCCGAAAAAGGGCGCAAATTGAAGAAAGATGGCCAAAGAATCTTACCCATCTTTCATAAGATCATAATCATGATTTCAAAGCGTCGAAAAGGTCTAGCTTTCTTTCAAATCCAGGTCGATCTAGGCCCAGAATTATATTTCCTTAACTAGGTTCAGGTTACTATCGTATTGTGTCCAACTTAGATCTAGTTTTTGAGGCAAATCTAAAATCTTAAGCCTCCAACATCGGAAATATAATTCTAAATTTTGAATAAAACATCAACTCAAACATTATTTTTTTCTCATCCAAAGTTTAAACCACAACATAGGATAGATTAAAGCATTTTTAAATTATTTCAGAATCTCAAAATGCCTCCTATTTTCATCCTTTGGTCTCCAAAATAAGTGCTCAAAATTTTATCCAGTCCCCTTCGAAATCCCAACATCCCTCCCTTCACATCACTCATTGAAAATCTAAATAGAATTTCTACCATTCTTCTAATCAAGAGTCTCCTTGGGAAGCTCGAACTCTATAAGATGTAATTAACTACGAAGGCTTGCCTTTGTAGGATATTTAAGACCCCAGATAAATTAAACCCCATCTCATTTAGCTCCTAAATAAGATGAGGGAAAGTTATTCACTTTGGGAATATTAAAACTAAAGATGATCATCATCTTCATATTTAAATGATTAATGATAAATGGTATTTTCTTTTCTTGGAGAGATATATCATTTATTATTATTTACTTCAGCATTAGTTCAGTGGGTTGTAACTCTCTCAATCCATTTAAATAATCTACAACGATCAAGATATATTAGCACTCATGAGATTATATAAATGGGCCCATAAAACCAAGTCTTCAAACATCAAATATTTCAGCTTATAAAAAGTGATTCAAGGGCATTTTGCTTCTCCTAGTAATATGGCATACCTATTGACACATATCACATTTATTAACATAAGCATTAGCATCCTTAAACATGGTAGGCCAATAAAATCTAGATTGGATGATATTAGAAGCAATTCAAAATCCTTTGAAATGCCCTCCTTAACTAAAATCATTGCATACACTAATGATGGGATCTACTTCCTCTGATCATTATATTTTCTAAGGAGATATGACTCATCCCAAAAGAAAAACTTAGCATGATGCATTCATTTTTGCATTTGGGTAGCTAATAAATCTTATGGGAATACTCCAATCATAATGTAATTGAATATATCAGCATATTAAGACGAGACACTAAAATGCAGTGTAAACATATGCTCATAAGCGAAGAATTTATTTATGTCACACTCATGCGATGTAAATTCTTCCAACTCTAATCTAGAAAGGTGACCAACAACTCGGTTCTTAGTGCCCTTCATATTAAGGATTTATACATCAAACTCATGTAACAAAAAAATCCACTACACCAATCTAAGCTTAGCATCCATTTTTTTCATAAGATATTTTATAGGAGAATTATTTGTATAAAACAAAACTTTGTGCCAGTAAACTAAGATCAGAATTTATCAAAAAGCAAAGATAATTTATAGTATTTTTTTTAATAGCAGAGTAATTATATTATGTAGCATTTAAAGTTCTGCTAGAATAAAATATAGTATAAAATTTCTTGTCTTTTCTTTGACCCAATACAACCCCAACATCATTATCACTTGCATCATACATCAACACAAAATACAAGTTATAGTCAAGTGCAATAATAATGGATGCAATGATTAAATGTTATTTTGAAATATTAAAGGCATTATGAAATGCATCATCAAACTCAAATGAGACATCCTTTCAAAGAAAATGATATAGTGGTTTGGTAATTTTGGAAAAGTCCCTAATGAATCTCCACTAAAAGTTTGCATGCCTTAGAAAACTTCTAATGCTTTTTACAGAAGTTGGTGGTGCAAATTTTTAATTACTTGCACCTAAGCCTTATCAACCTCTAATCCTCTCTCTAAAATCTTATGTCCTAACACTATCTCTTTTAGCACAATAATCAAATAATCAAATCAATAATCAAATGTGATGGCAAACATAGAAAAATCATCTATAAATACCTCAATGCCCTACTCAATTAAATATGAGAAAATAGATATCATACAATATTAAAAAGTAGTAGGGACACTATAAAGCCTAAAGGGCATCCTCCTAAAAGAAAATGTTCTATAAGGATTGCTGAACGACGTGTTATTATCTTAGTCTTCAGGTGCTATATAAATCTAATGATACCCTTAATGCCTATCTAAGAAATAAAAAAAGAATGTCTTACGAGTCTATCTAACATTTGGCCAATAAATGACAAGGGAAAATAATCTTTCCTAGTGGCCTTATTCAGCTTCCTATAGTCAATGCAAAATCTCCACCTAGTCACTATTTTAATAGGAATCAAATTATTCTACTCAATGAACACTATAATCAGGCCACCTTTCTTAGGGACCTAGTGGATAAGACCTACCCAGGAACTATCATAAATCTGCTAAATAATTCCAGTATCTAACCACTTAAGAATCTCGTTCTTAACTACCTCTTTCATGGAAGGGTTCAATCTACCATGTGATTGACTTTTGGTAAGGAATTCTCCACCATCAAGATCTTATGTATGCACGTGAATAGACAAATTTCCTTGATATCTATTATAGTCCAGCCAAAAGATTTATTATGTTCACTAAGAACCCTAATTAACTTGTTTTCTTATTCTTCTCCTAAATATATAAAATGTTCATCGACAAGGTTGATTTTTCATTTAAGATGGAGAATTTAAGATAGGAATGTAGAGCTTTATGCTCTAGATCAGGGTGCATCCTCAATACAAGGACTCAATGATCAACCTAGGGAGGAAGTATCCAAAACCTCATACTTCTCTCAAGATAACCTTGAGGTCTCAGCAATCAAATAGACATACTCTCCAATCTTCCCATGAATCTCCTCATCAATCCAAGATAACTCTAAAATACTATCACTCAAAAGATCATCCATACACTCCTCAATACAAGCCTCGACCAAGTTAGCTCTAAAGCAATCCTCTGTATACCACTCTAAGGAATTTCATAGTCTTAAGCATATAAATAGTCACCTCATGGCCCTCAACTCTCATGTTTAGTTCTCGCTTATAGGCATCAATAATGGTCGTACGTGTGATTAGAAAAGGTGTTCCTATGGTGATAAGTATCACCCCTTGATAACCAAGATAATGAAATATATAGGGAATATGAGCTTATCAACCTTAACCAACATGTCCTCTATTATGCTATTAAGATAAGTGAAAGATCTATCAGTAACCTGAAGGATAATAATGGTGGGCTAGACCTCTCCAAAGTCTAACCACTTAAAAAATAGTCCAAGGCATTAGGATGATACTAGCTCTCAAATAACACAAACTACAGGAAAAGCGTTAATTTCTGGTGGCCATTTCAACCGGTAATTTATATTTCTGGTTGATTTCATATGGTAACTCACACGTAAGAAAATAAATACAATCAAAAAATTTTGCCAAAAATTACTTAAAAAAATAAAAAAAATCATAATTTAGC